TCCTCGCCGGAAACTGTCACGCCGAGAGTCCAGAAGACGTGTTTCCGTTAAGGAGCTTTTATGCTGGAAGAGATTCCGTAAGCGCCCACTTTCGGATTCTGCTAGCGACTGACGGAGCCATGCTGGAGGGGCTCCGTCGTAGGCAGAGGTTTGAGGACTTGACCAAACTCTGAGGGACTAGGATTTTACGCACAAGCAGCTCATCATCCCATTACACCCTGGTATATACATTTTTAAGAATGCAGACTGTGCGAAGGTAAGAAAACGTAGTGGGTTGATGAGCAAGTGTGCAAAAACAGGCGTGTGTTGTGGAAAACAAATGAACCCCGAAGTGCTTTCTTCAGGAAGGCAGCAGGAGAGACTGAGCTCTGTAAGTACAGCTAAATGCAGGACTTACCAGTACTGATCAATACAGTGGTACCTCGGGTTAAGAACTTAATTCGTTCTGGAGGTCCATTCTTAACCTGAAACTGTTCTTAACCTGAAGCACCACTTTAGCTAATGGGGCCTCCCACTGCCGCCGCACAATTTCTGTTCTCATCCTGAAGCAAAGTTCTTAACCCGAGGTACTATTTCTGGGTTAGCAGAGTCTGTAACCTGAAGCGTCTGTAACCCGAGGTACCACTGTACACTGAAGCTAAATGCTACACACTGTGCATGCAGTTCTGTGTTATCGAAGGACACCAAGAGGCCAATAGTTCTCCAGCAGCTCCAGGGGCTTAGTGTCAGTACTTACAGCTCCTGCCTGATCCTCCTTAGTTTAGCCTTTGTGTCTGCCAGCTCCACAGACAGATGCTGTTTGTCCTCATTGGAGAGGCGGCTGGCTGGGTTTGGCGAAGAGGCTGGGCTGGAAGTTTTTAATGGGCTGGGCGGCTGTTGGGATTGCAGGTAATCTCTCTCCTGAGTGAGATCCACAATGAGCTGGGAACAAACAAACAAAACAACCCATGTGAAGAATACAGCTTGCACATAGCTCCATTCATAAAAGGATCTCAGACTATTTTATGAAAGTCGATGACTTTATAGGAAGATTTGGACACAGAAAGCTTTAGTTGCACTAGCACAGAAATAAAGTACGCAATGGCGCCAAAGGTTCCCCACATTCATGGCAAGCCATAATTCGGCTCATTGTGATGTGCAAAGCAGACCACTACGTCCCCATGCAATTGTCACAACTCTTTCTCTGTGCACACATATGGTAGAAAGATGTACATTGTCTAAAGTGAGTGCACAGCCAGTGAAATAGACAAATGCACAATGATCAGAAGTCACGGTCCACTAAGGACCATGTAGTAGTTGTTGTTATTAGTAGTAGTAATAGTAGCATTTTAACTTATGAACCACCCTTCACCCTAAGGTCTCAGGGCAGCTTACAGCAATTTAAAATACATTAAAAGGAGTCTAAAAACTTAACGATTAAAAAAATGCAACCACAAAACAAGGGTGGGTCTTGAAAATACACATCTCAGCAGTCGATGGCTGGAGCTAAGAGGGCAGGGTACTTGCCAATTCCTACATGGAATTATTTTTTCATTCAGAGTTCTGTAAACTTTTGAAGTGGTTGTTGAGATGGCTTATAATACAATTTGAGAATTATAACAACGTCATATGTCCTTAGGCTTCTTGGCCTTTTTCCTAGGCTAACGAATCCCAATCTCTTTTTGAGATCTGGGGAAATCTGCCCCTTCTCTTCTTTTCAGTTACTACGATATAAGATGCTTCCTTATAAAGACCTTTATGTTAATGTAAACTGCTTCGTATTTGATGTACAGCTTCTAACGAACACAGTATGGAAAATAATATACATTTACAACAGCATGGGGCAGCATCCTTTACACTGCTTCCTAAAAATTCCATATTTGAGCATAAAAAGACCAAGCTGGTTATGAGAAAGGGTCTTGTCATCCCTTACCCAAACCTACAGTCATATACAGCAGATGCAGATTCATCACTTGAAATGTAGATCTGCCTCAAATATGTAAATTGGGGTGGGGGGTGGGGAGAAGAGAACTGACTGGCACCTTGCAGCTTATCTCCCGCCTGCACGCTTTTTCTCTCCACTGAGTTCCGATACCAGGACTGCACCCAACTGAAAAGTGTCAGGGGGAGGGGAAGAGCTAGGCTGGATCTAGACACATCAAAAAAATGTTTTGCGAAAAAGTGTTGTAAACCTCATAATGGGAAATGGGACTCCACAGCGCCATCTGGTGTCACGGTAATACAACGCGTTTAAAACTACCGTATTTTTTCGCTCTATAACACGCACCTGACTATAACACGCACATCGTTTTTAGAGGAGGAAAACGGGGGGGGGGATTCTGAATGAAACAGTGGATGTATCATTTTGGTGCCTCATGCTGTGGCCACAGACATGTGATCTGATGGTGAATTTGGGGTGACCCAATGCAAAGATCCTGAGGATCCATGTGGATCCATGCTTTGTAACCACGTTTTTGCACCATTGCAGCCCCAGGCAACAGTGGGTGCGTGATTTTTTTGGTGCAGGCTGTAGCCATGGACATGTAATGTGATCTGATGGTGAATTTGGGGTGACCCAATGCAAAGATCCTGAGGATCCATGTGGATCTGTGCTTTGTAACCACGTTTTAAGTGGGGAGGAAAGGAAAAACACAGAAGGGACAAGGAGCATGAGAGGGGTGTGCAGAGAAGCAGCTGGCTAAGAATGCAGGAGAGGGATTTAACGGGAGGGAGAAAAGGAAGGCAAAAGTTTCCCCCCACCCACCCAAGCCAGCCCCCCCCTCTCTCTCTCTCTCTCTCTCTCTCTCTCTCTCTCCCACCTGCATGTTTTCCGGCTGCCTGCGAGTCCCTAAAATGCTTCCCTGGACGCAGCAGCACCGGAGCACGGAGAGGAATTAGAAGGAAGGACGCGATCCTTTCCTTTCCCCTCTGATTGCCTAGAGGGGAGGGGATTTCCCTGCTCTTTTTTCCGTTTGAGCAAACAGCAACCGAAACAGAAGAGGGTGGGCAGTAAGACCCTGAGGCAGAATGCAGGAAAGCAACAGCTTCCTCTCTTCAGGCGTCCCTCCTCCCTGACGGCGATCGGATTTTTGTCTGATTTTTGGCCCTGCACTCGGGCCAGTCGGCTCCAGGGACCACACATTCACTCAATAACACACACAGACATTTCCCCTTACTTTTTAGGAGAAAAAATCTGCGTGTTATAGAGAGAAAAGTACGGTATTTTTCTTTACTAATGTAGCTGAGTCCCTAGACTGTGGAGAGGCAAGATGAGAGAGAGAGCACTCACCCACATGTCCTTTTGCTCTTAAAACCAGCCCTCTCATGATTCCTGATGTGATCAGGACAGATCCACATTTACAAGTTGGGCCCTACTGCTATCACATCTAGCCTGGCCCAAGTGTATTTGGCAAGAATCAGGAGGAGGAAGGCTTTTTAGGGTGCTAAGTCAAGAGCAAAGAGTGCAGAGAGGAAATGAAAATAACCAACAGCAATAAGCAATAATCATGATACAGCAAAGAAAGCCGGCACTTGCTGGTCCTGAGCTGTTTATTGGACTTACTGGATAATTTTACCTGGGGAAGCATTCGAAAGTTATGATCCTGCCCACACCTGCAGTCTGAAATGGCACAGTCCAAAACTTTACCGCCTCATTCTGCATATTATGTAGAACACCTCAGATACAAGGTGAGCCAAGCAGAAACATCAAAGATTTCAGTACATCTGGCACAGTTTTTAACTAGGAAGCTGTGCTCTTCATGTTATGGAAACACGCAGGTGGAAAACTTGAATTGTTAATTAAGACCATGGCCGAGAGAAACAGAGGCTTTATTTATTAATTTAAAAAGACAGGCCCCAAACGGCCAGTACTTGAAAGAAGAGATCAATATAAGAGCAAAAGGTTAACAGAAAAAGAAAAGTCTAGCACAATATTTCAAACAAACTGCATTGTCTTTAACATAAATAAAAAGCAATTCAAGATACTTTATCCATACCTCTGTGCACTCATCTCTCTCATCGATCAGCCTCTTGAGATGGAAAACCATATTTCTGGAAAGAGACTCGAGTTCTTCTGGAGCCATATCTGGGAGCTCTAGCCACTGCAAGTCAAATACATTCTCCTGGTTATGGGTTACCTGAAATGAAGAAAGAAAAAAGCAGGAGATTTGTCTCTTTTTTGGAAGCTGTGCATGAGTTTTGCCTGAAGAGCAGCCTCACTCAAACAACCGTCACCTCCGAACTTTGGGCCATGCTGGCTGGTTTTGATGACAGCTGTAGTCCAAGACATTTGGAGAGCAGCAAGGCTGGAGAGGGCTGCTGCACAGTAAGATCTGCAATTCTATTAGGCTAATTCTGCAAACATTGAGTTCCATTGAGTCCAACAGGACTATTTCTTGTAAATAATGGCTAGGATTGCAAGTTAATATTCACATTCCAACAGACTCCCATAGTAATTGCTGCATTAGCTAATATCATATTTGCCTATATCATATGAGACCTTTTATATCATGGGTGGGCAAACTAAGGCCCAGGGGCCCAATCACCTTCTAAATCCGGCCCACGGATGGTCTGGGAATCAGCGTGTTTTTACATAAGTAGAATGTGCCCTTTTATTTAAAATGCATTTCTGGGTTATTTGTGGGGCCTGCATGGTGTTTTTACATGAGTAGAATGTGTGCTTATATTTAAAATGCATCTCTGGGTTATTTGTGGGGCATAGGAATTCATTCATTATTTTTTTCCAAGATATAGTCTGGCCCCCCACAAGGTCTGAGGGACAGTGGACCAGCCCCCTGCTGAAAAAGTTTGCTAACCCCTGTTTTATATTGCTTTGGCAAATGACTCTTCTTGAAATTGAAACTGTTGGCTTCCGCACAAATGTAAACTCCAATGAATGCAGAAAATGCTTCAAATCGTAGCTATCTAGAGGCAGGACAATAGCCTCACAAAAGATTGCATCCCACCATTTTGGAAAAACAGTTTGGTGACAATCGGAAACTTAACCATCCTCCTCCTCCTATTCGCAAGGGATTAATTGAATAATTCCAGTTTAGAGAACCATTAATACAGTATCATTAAAAGCTTCAAAAGCTTCTTGAGATACTGGCGTGGTTCGCACATCATGGCAAGCCAAACTATGGGTTATCTGGACTGTGTTTATGTGCTGGCTTCCCAGACAGGAGCTCACACCCACTTTGCTCCTTCCCTGTCCTTTTAGTATAGCATAGCATGGCAGCTAAGCCAAAGTTTGATTCAGTATGTGTTTCAATTCAGAATCATGGTTAAGAGTTCTCCTTAACCGTGATTTAAATCATAGGATAAAGTTTGGCTACACATCATGGTTAAAGAGGCGAGGTCTTAACCGGGATCCTGGGTTTGGACAACATGCGAAGCGAAGTCTCTGCCTTCCCTTTTAAGTCCAATCTTACTGACATCTCAAAAGAAGGAGAGGAAGACTCACAAAGGATGGCAAAAACCTTTGGAAGTCTCTCCATTTCCCTTTTAAATCTCCTATCTCCTGCCTTAAACTAATTATTAAATCAGCTGGGCTGGCTGGGGTTGATAGGAACTGTAGACAGACAACGTTTGGAAGATACCAGTTTGCAGAATGATGGTCTACACATATTTTCTTCCTCTAACATTAACACATAATAGTGATATTATAGACCAACTTCTGCATTACAGTGGTACCTCGCAAGACGAATGCCTCGCAAGACGAAAAACGCGCAAGACGAAAGAGTTTTCCGTTTTTTGAGTCGTTCTGCAAGACGAATTTCCGTATGGGCTTGCTTCGCAAGACGAAACGTCTTGCGAGTTCTTGTGAGTTTGTTTCCTTTTTCTTAAAGCCGCTAAGCCGTTAATAGCCGCTAAGCCGTTAATGGCCGCTAAGCCGCTAATAGCCGTGCTTCGCAAGACGAAGAGACTCGCGGAACGGATTAATTTCGTCTTGCGAGGCACCACTGTATTATTTAAGAGTTGCTCCAGTTGTTGTTTTTATGCCCGTTTGAGTATCTTTGTTTTGCATTTCCCATTTATGGCCCTAATACAGACAGGAAAAGCAAAACATTCATGAGCCAAAAAACATGATACGAATGCCGCCTGTACTCAATGAGAAGTTAGAGGAAAGTCCACTGGAACACAAGAGAACAGGAACAAAGGAGTTGAGAATCTTACCTCTTGAATATGAGAAACTATTGCAGCCTGAGTTTCAATATCTAGTTGCTTTATCCTTTCTATAAATTCTTCTTTTCTTTCACACTATCAAGAGGAACAAAAAAGGCACATCACATAATTGTTTATTGAGCACTGAAAATGCACTGCACCTTCTTTTTTTATATAACCTGAATATTAGAGAGGAAATGATAAAACAAATGTGGCTGGGATATTTAATAGCTTGCATTGGTAATTAGCTTATTAGGTTTACTAATTATAACTATAGTGCTAAATTAGGAGTAAACTTACCTGCACAGCACAACCCAAAACTAGCAGAAGCAGCTTTTTAATTTCATCCATACTTTTCCCTAGGAGATGAAAAATGACCATTAAATATTAGAAAATCATTATGAAGATTATTAAAATGAAAAAGGCCAATGATTTTCTAACAACGTATCCTCAGCAACATAGCATTAAAAAGGCGGCATATCTCTACATTTCAATTGTGGTCACAGAACAAATTTTCTTTGCTTTTTAAAAGAAATGTTTCAGCTTTGAGATGATGTGTTTACAGTTCATAGCTCTTGTAGCTGTTAAGGAAAAAAAACCCAAACCTCATCGCTGTGAATTCTTTTTAAAACTCAAAGAACAAGCTGGCACAATTAGCAGTATAGATAAATATAAAACCAATGAAAGGCAGTGGATGGTTTTACTGCACTTGATGCAAATCAGTGCAAATTTATTTATTTTTGCAGCAACGCATAGCTGATGTGAAACAAGTTGCTTTTCCCCAAGGTACTGGCATGTGTGTTCCTACCTATTTGCTAAAAAAAAAAAAAAAAAGCAGTTTTCTGTTTCAGCTGAGAATAAAGCGCCTTGACTCTTCACACAGCTTCTTTAAGATGTGATTAAAATGACTGCTGTTTCCCTGCAGTTTGTCTGCATGACGATAAAGGCGCCATGAAATATCACTGCCTTGATCTATACCAAATAATCAGCCTCATTTCAAGAGATTTGTACACATAAAAGCTGCCTTACAGGAGATGTGTGACCTGCCCATCTACTGTACTGCCATACAGTCTGACCAGCATCAGCTCTCAAAGATCTGCGGCATAAGAAATTCCCTACCTTTGTTCTGGAAGGTTCTTTTAACTAGAGATGCCAGGGGTTGAACCTGTAATGTCCTGAATGCAAAGTGGTACTTTCTATTCTAAATCCTCAGAACAAAATCAGTCTGTGGAGAATGGTTCAAGATCACCAATGAGTGTCCTTGACCTAGTGGTTATCTGAACTCAAGTGTCTGGGTCAGAAAGACGGGCTCTTGGAAGAGAGCTGTTCCTTCAGCGGTGAAGCAGCTTAGACTGAGAACTTAGAAAGAAAATGGAGGCCAGAGCCAGCTCAGCCATTAGGCAGACTGAGGTGGCTGCCTCAGGCGGCAGAAGCCCCTAAGGCAGCAGCCCTGTGGGCATTCCACCTGCCTCTGCCACCACTGAAGAAGCTGGCTGGAGATGATGGGAGATGATACACTACAACAACAGCTGGCCACCCAAGGTTGAAGAGCACTGTAAGTTTAGTGACAACTCTGAAGCTTGGCATGCTGTCTTCTGTGTTCCTGTGGCCCTGGGTGACATCGAGGCGGGCAGAATTTGAGAGTTGGCCAGGAACCCAGAAAGGTGGTCCTGGGACCTTCACTCCTAGGACCTCCTGCAAGTGTGAAAATCTGCTCAGGGGGCTCCTCCTCTAAGGAGACCTCAGGATTGAAATCTGGGCAGGGCTGAACCCTGACACCAGGTCTTCAGTTCCAGCCCAACAAGCCAACTACTTCTTAGGCTTTCAAAAGCTATATACCTGGCCTATCAGTGCTACAACGGTGGTAGCCAAGGAGACTGGAGAGAGGCAGGCAAAAAGGAGAAACAGAAAGGGCTTCCCAGGCAAGCGGCTGTATCAGTTTCTTCCTCTGGACGTGCACTTATCACTTACACTGCCACTCTGGACTTGAGTTCTGCCACCGGCAATGTCATGACATGAATGCCATTCACGTAAGTGAAATTCATTCAACATTTAAAGGTTGTTTCTCACCCCCCACCCCCCATCTAAAGAAAGGCACCAAAATGTAAAGGGCTCCACAGACTTGTATATGCAAATGATTTCCACCCCCACCAAATAATTTGGGCCTCCCAGTGAGTTTAAGTGCACAAAAGCTGTTGTGTAGCTGAAGGTGAGATAGCTGATCTGCTTAAGTGCTTTCCTGGATCGGGGCCAAAGTGTGGAGCGACCATCGCAATATCAAGTCTTTATTTTACAGAAAATGCTCCCCTGACCGTATTCTTGTACTACACTTCAATTATTCTTTTAAGACATGGATACAAAGACCCACGGGGCCCAGACCTGGAAAAAAACCAGTTTGCTGCAATAATAACATTTCTACATTTGCTAAGGCTTTTTGTCTGTAGATGGTTGTTGATTTGTAAACTTGCATGGATTGCACCCAGGCGGCAATGAAGACCTGGATACAGTGAGGCTTACACGGGTCTCCCATGTACTAGCTTGGGAACCAGTGGTCTACATTGACTAGCAGTGTCTCTCCAGGGTTTTCAGATTGGGGACAATTCCAGCCTAATCTGGAGATAACATGGATTGAACCTAGAACAATGTGCCTCCAAAGAAAATACTCTACCACTGAGCTACAGACCTTTCCATGAGTGAGCCTTTGTCCAAAATAGTTGTCCCCTTGACTGTGCTAGTATATGATCCTATCTACAGGAAACTGGAATGGAGTCAATCAATTATGCTAATGTATATTTAACAAAAAGACACAGTAACTGAACTACTAATCAACTTTGAGTGGAAATTCAGTATGGAAGGCGGGGACGACGACAAACTTTCACCATTAAAAAAGAAAATACTGGCAAGAGAAAAGGACTGTTTTTATTTCTTGCTTACCCTGGAGTATATTTCAAGAATTCATCCAATGTACATAAAATAGTTAAGTCATTTGAACTGATTTCCAAGCCAAACTTTGTTTACAACATGGTTTAACAGAATGTTGGCATGCTAAACGGTCTTCCATATTACATTTCTATGGTTTGTTGCAATGTATAGCAGAATTGTATCTATCCAACTGTAATAAATTACAGTTTATTCTCCTACCCCAATTTCCCTCCAATACAAAGCTATTTAATACTGTTTCCCACAATGTCTTCCTCAAAAGGTGGACTTTTCCATGACCTTCACTAGCAGCTACTTTTAACACACAAAGATAAACTGTAGTTTAAGTAAAAAGGGTGTGGGGAGAGCTACATATTAAAAGCACTTCAAAATTTAGTGTATATTTTAAACGCATGCAGCAGTGATTTCAAGCACAGCACTTAACACCACAGAACCAAGAAAGCTTTGACTGATGTTGTATGATTATACGGCTAAGTTAAGCAGAACTCCTCTGCTCTTCGCAGCTTCTGCTTTTTTATTTTTTTAAATATTTTATTAAGGATTTTCTTGTTTTACAGAAGTGTAGTGCCTCGTTTTTTGTTTGTTTTTTCCATGCAACATTTTTACAAATCCATTTCATTTGTTGAGGCATTAGGGGGAGAAGAAAAAAGAAAGAGGGAAGAAAAGGGGGGGTGGAGAGAGGGAAGATGGATGGGGGTGGGGTCGGGTGACGGTGTTTCTATTATGTTTAATGTGTGTAGAGTTTGGTGTCAGCGTTGTTTGTGTTGTTCACTTGTGTTCCTTTGGTGGTGAGAGAGGTTGGGGTTGGCCTAGGATGTGATTGTTTGCTTGTGATTGGCTGTGGTGATCTTTGTTTTCGTGTGTGAGTGAGGTGGGTGGGTGTTTTGGATCAGGTTAGCCATATTGATTTGTATGCTGTTGGTGGATTATTGTCATTGTCCTGTTGGGCTGTGTGTGTGATAAAGGGGAGCCATACCGGGGTGAAGGTGTCTTCTTCTGTTTGTCCCCGTGTCAGTTTCAGTTTATTAGTTAATTTTTCTAGTAGGGCTGTTTCCCATACTATTTGGTACCATTGGTCCATGCTTACTCCTGACAGGTCTCTCCAGTGTCTGGTTATGGTATTTCTGGCTGCTGAAAGCAGGTGGGTTATGAGTTCTTTGTGGTGTAAATGGGCATTGTTGTCTTGGAAGATGTTTAGTAGGGCCAATTCTGGGGTTATGTCTATTACTTGCTTAGTTATTGTACATATTTCTTGTATGGCTGTCGTCCAGAATAGTTGGATTTTGGGACACTCCCACCACATGTGGAGGTATGTTTGAATGACTGATGCTCAAGTGACAGATGGTACAAAAGAATTCTTATTAGACATTAATGGGAAACAATTGCAGGCAAGTAAAAAATGCAGCAGACATGCAGTGAAGTTGATGGCAGCTCTTTAAAAAATATCACCTGCTCCTGCCAAATGCTGATGAAGCTGATTGCATATCAAATGCTGCCTTGTATTACTTTGTTCCTATGCATTTTGCTATGCTGAGCACCATCGTATTTCATTATTTTAAGACCTGCTTAGTGCCTTCTGGTGCTGCGTACCTGATAGGACCATGGCGTTTGAATAACGTACACTTATCCTTCCAAGTACATTGCAGAACCGAACCAGGAAACATGGGCCACACAGTGGGTTAAACAAATATACATAAACTGTTTGGTTCCGTCTAGACTGAGATTTCAAAGGGTTTTAGGATTCAAGCCACTGGTTCTGCATTAGACGGTGTAATCAAACTCCTATAATAAAATACACACTAGCATTCCCATGTTAACTACTCTGCTTGATTAAGGTCTTATAAGCCTTTGTGCATGCTTAAAAAAGGAGAAAGCTGGGATGCCTGATTCATTACATTGAGTAGTAAATATGCAGATTAAACGGATTATAAATGCATCCTTTCCATCACAATAAATCAAATTCGGGTTTACCATGTTATAAATTGTCTTCCATTGTTTGCCATATGTATTCTGAATATTTGACTATATACTCCTTGTGTACCTGTGCTTGTAACTGCATAAAGTGCTTGTATTTTGCCAGGAGGGGAAGTCGTGGCTACAAGTCATGGTGTTTATTTATTTATTTAGGGCATTTGTGGATTGCCATTTCTCCAAAGGAGCTCCGGGCACTATATACAACCAAACATAAGAGCAAAATACATCAAACATCAATCAAAACATATACAGACCTAACTTTTTAACAGCAAATCATTAAAACACAGACCCGCATACCAGTGCAAAGGATTGTAATCTCCAGTATCAAACATAGCATGCCTCCGAAATGTCAGTTGCAGGAGAAAACAATGGGCTGAAGCTCTTTGGGTGGTTACACTAGTGACGCCCTTCCCATTAGTGGCACCCTAATTATAGGATGCTCTCC